AAAATACGGTATTAAATAGTCTAGGGAGGTAATAGGTCCTTATGAAAGTTTAGTATCGCAATAGCAAATCCGACCAAAGTTGGGGTATTTTTCAAACCCTTATCCCTTTTTTTTACTACAAATCACAAAACTATTTAAGGAGAACAAATTAGTGACTAATATGATTAATTTTGAGATAATTTAAAGGGAAAGAAAAGTAATATAATTTCCTGCACAAGAAAATAATTTCATATTTTTTGAAGTCAATGACCGACTCATTGATGAGAACAAACGAGCAATAATATTTAAATGTTTTATTTCTAATTGCACAAGTTCATGGTGAACATGTTGTGTCTTTAAACCTTCAATTGATAGGGTTAATATTGTTCTATATTGGTTGGTAAATTTTTGAATATGTATTGACATAGTGTATTGATGACATGGTGTATTTGATGCGGATTATATGCCTGATCAGATCCATCACAAATTAAAAAAAAAAAACACCAAACTTCAATATAATAGATGATGTTTACAGGCCCCTGAGGGAGATTCAGCAAGAAGGATGGAAGAATCTGAGCTCTATTTTAGAATCTCCCGCAGAGAAGAAGCCCAGGGACGGAAATAGGCTCCTAAAGAACGCACTGTCATTGTCTTTCCCAGATTGTTCTACTCAACTTGTTGTTTTGCCTTTCTGGTTAGTTGTTCCTTCAAATTATTGGAGTCTAAGTTGTTTTGGTGGTAAATATTGTAGATTATGAAAATTGATATTTTTGACTCAGATAACACTTTCAAATATCTTTTAACTTTTGGAGCCTGAGTTGTTTCAGAATGGTTTAGTCTTTTGAGTTGTTTCAGAATGGTTTAGTCTTTTGAGGTGCATGTTGAATTTTTAGTCGAATATCTTGATGGATCAATAGCTAATCGTTGAAATTCAACATAATTCTGATTGGGGAAAAAATGAATAGTATCATAGTTTTTCCAAAATTAATGAACTGTTTGAAATTCAACATAATTCTGATTGGGGAAAAAAGAATAGTATCATAGTTTTTCCAAAATTAATGAACTGTTTGGAGGCGATTCTTTTCGCTGGAATTCAAATGGACTATTTTCATATATTTTTATCTGATATCATCAAAGTTCAGAAATACTTTTGAGGAAGATGGTTGGTAAGAAAGGGATGTACTAAGATCAGATAAGTTCACTATCAGCAAACTCTTCAGCTAAAAAGAGCTTACCAGAAGGTTGATTGGGCAAGGCTGATTTGCAACAAATAGGCCCTCCTAAATGGTCAACTTATCTTATATCTCACTGTTTGTAGCAGGTTGTTTACAAAGGAAAGGTTAGCCAAATGATGGCGTTTGGAGGAGGAGAAGTGTGCACTATGCAGCAAAGATAATGAGTATGTTGCACATCTCTTCTTTATGTCCCCTTATTTAGCACAAGTCTGGAATACCATCTAATATAGCTGCAGATTCATAGACAAGCTCAAGGATGGATCTGGGATGAATTAGGCAATTATAAACTTCAAAGATCGAAGTTTACATGCTGAAGTTTTTAGAATGACATTAGTTGCGGGAGTTAATATTGAGAAAAAGGAATTAGAGGATCTTCCAAACAGAGAACAGAACAGAAGGCTTCAAGTCCTCATTATGTTGTTAATTCAAGATCCTCATACTAGAGGAGTTAGTGAAAGCAACATTATTTAGAATGTTATTGGTTATTTGGTCATATTTCATTGTTAAATTTGAAAAAAAAATAAAAAAATTTGATTTCAAAGTGAAAAATGATATATGAAAATTGGAATTGTGTTTGATCATGAATATAAATTGGAGTTTATTCATAAATTAAAGTTATTTTTGACTTTTTGTGAGTAATTGGAGCGCAAGTATATAGACAAGTTTAGCATAAAAATTGATCCATTTTCATCTCTTTTTATTTGTGACCCTCAATGATCGAAAGTGAAGTGAAAAAATTTTAATGGTTGGATGGCAGATCTAAACGCTATTATAGCTCCAACAGATACCAGTTATACAAGAATCGCAGTGATCACAACTGTTGAGGAGGAAGACTTATGTGGAGCTTATACACATCAAGACTAGAAAATAATTCATATGAATACTCATGTCAGATATTTACATAGTTACTGCAACTTCTTTCTCATTTTGAGGGAACAACGGAGTTACTATGCCATTACAATTTCTAATAACACGAGTCCTGGAGTGCGGTTAATATTACTTAAATATTATTGGGTCCGTGCGCACACGTGCAAAAACTTTCTAGTTATATATAAAAAACAAATTATAATTGACATATGTATCAACTAAATATTAAAATTTTCTTCTATTTTTACTAAATCTTTTACCTTTTTTACTGGAATTTCTAACGATTCTTCCATATGGACTAAAAATTTAATTTTTTTTTATTTCTACTAAAATTATTTTATCTTCTCAATTAGAATTTTTAAGTTTCTTTTACTTCTACATTTTTTTAAATTTTGATTTTGATTAAGTCGTCTTCAAGCATTTATTATAATCATTATTTCTGTCTTTCTTTATTTTCTTTATTTAAGTTAATAGCTTGAAAGATCTATAGACTATATACATATAAATGAAAATACATAAATAAGGTGATGCAACACTTGTTTATATCCCATTTGCATTTTTATTTTATTTTTGATATTTCTCTCTCCATTTCACTATATGATAATAACACAATAATTTACTTTAAAATATTTTTTATTTTTATCTAAAAAGTGATTAACATAACTCACAACATGCTTCGTATTAATAAAATCTTGTGATTTTTGGGTTGTAAAAAGGAGTAATTATTCAATTACTTTTCTGTTTGTTTCTATATATACCCCTAACCATTAATTCCGACTAGTATTTAATTTTAGGGGAAATAGAAATTTGAAAGAGGACGTGATGGTGAACAGAGAATATGAGTTAACTTGTAGCTCTCTCCATTTTTCTATCTGTTATTATATTTTAGTAAATTATTTTTAATATCAATATTCACATTTATCTTTTCCTCTGTATATTTAATTATGGGATATGTATATGTATTTACCATCCACCCTGCTCCAAAAAGAAAAAAAGAAAAAAAAAAGGTTTTATATTATACTCTATATATTAAAGAGAAGTTGTCCAACTCTCCTGCAATTTGATAAACCCTAATTTCTTTGATCTGAATATGAAGCAGCTAATCAGCAAACGAACAATCGACAAATTGTCAAAACTCAAAGCTACGCAAATTCTATCTCATTTTCACTCAAAATCCTCAATCCCAACATCCTCTCTTCCTCCGTCCACCAGTTGGACCAAATGCCGATTTTTCCAAATTCACAACACACCAGTTCCAAAATTTGTATCTTGGAGTGGTAAAAGATTCATTCATACAGATACAGCTACTGATACAGCTGAAGAAATGGTAAGTGAGACTGAGGATGATGCTACAATGAATGACTTCTTGTCAAGATTTGTTTGGATAATGCGTGGAAAACTCATGGAAGTATATCCAGATTTTGAGAAAAAAACAATTGATGAGATGCTTTTGGTTATTGTTGCCAAGGTTGTTTCTGAGCTGGAAAAGGGTGGTTTTGATCAGATAGTTGGAGGTAAGTCGTCCTCACCTTCTCAGGATGATGATTTTAGTCACGATTTGTGGAAGACTGTGTGGGAGGTGAGTAATGTAGTTTTGGAAGATATGGAGAAAGCAAAAAGGAAGGATAAAATGAAGAACTTTCTTCAAGCTGAGCAAGTTAAGGAGATGTGTAGGTTTGCTGGTGAAGTAGGTATACGTGGAGATATGCTTAGGGAATATAGGTTCAAATGGGCACGTGAGAAGATGGAGGAGAGTGAGTTTTATCACAGTCTTGAACGTTTTAAGGAAGAGGAACAGCAAGGGACCGAATATGGTATTGGTGTCGTGGAGCACCAAAGTCGTGCTGAGGACCCTAAACTTGTCGCTCTTCCAAAAAGGCGTGGCAAAATTAACTATAAGATTTATGGACTTGATTTATCCGATTCAAAATGGTCACAAGTGGCTGATAAGATTCATGAGGCTGAGAAAATCATATGCCCTCAAGAACCAAAAAAAATAGATGGAAAGTGCAAAATTATTACTGAAAAATTACTTTCTTCACAGGATCAAGATGATTATTCTCCACTTATAGCAGAATGGGTACAACTTCTCCAGCCTAGCAGGGTAGACTGGATAAATTTACTTGATAGATTGAATAACCGAAATCCTAGTCTATATTTGAAGGTAATTCCTTCTCCAATTTAAGTGTTTTCTTATTAGCATGACTTCAATTTTCATTTTTATTTTTAACTTTCATTCGTCCCATTGTCAACTGCAAAAACTGGGAGACTTTAAGTTAATATTCTTAATATCACTTGTTTTGAATGCTCCTTCTTCGTACTACTAATTTGTATTAGTATAAGAATCTATAAAGCAAATGTTGTCACAAATCTGAATTTAAGTTTCTGGCTAAAAAGAAAATCTGAATTTAAGTTGTTGTTAAGTATTAGCTAATTCTGACTTTTTGTAAACATGTTAGATTGCAGAACATGTGCTTGGTGAAGAGTCCTTCCAAACAAACATACGTGACTACTCAAAACTCGTTGACGCCCATGCTAGAGATAACCGGCGAGAAGATGCCGAGAGAATTATCAGAAAGATGAGTGAAAATGGAATTGTACCTGATATTCTCACATCAACAATCATGGTTCACATGTACAGCAAAGCAGGTGATCTGGATCGAGCAAAAGCCGCATTTGAGAGCTTGAGAACTCAAGGATTCCTACCAGACATGGGGGTTTACAATTCCATGATCCTAGCCTATGTAAATGCTGGCGACCCAAAGAAAGGTGAATCATTGATGAAGGAAATGGAGGTAAGAGACATCAAACCCTCTAAGAAGATCTATATGGCCCTCCTAAGGTCATTTTCTCAGCATGGTGATGCTAATGGAGCCCATAGAATAGCAACTACAATGCAATTTTCAGGATTTCAGCCCACTTTAGAGTCATGTATGTTACTTGTTGAGGCATTTGGAAAAGCTGGTGACCCTGATCAGGCAAGGCAGAATTTCGATTACATGATTAAACTTGGACACAAGCCAGATGATAGATGCACTGCTACCATGATAGCAGCATATGAGAAGAATAACCTGCTGGATAAAGCCTTAAATCTTTTAATAGAGCTTGAGAAAGATGGCTTTGAGCCTGGGGTGGCTACTTATTCGGTTTTGGTGGATTGGTTGAGTAAAATGCAACTAATTGATGAAGCTGAACAACTCTTAGATAAAATTGCTGAACAGGGTGAGGCTCCTCCATTCAAGGTTCATATTAGCCTATGTGACATGTATGCAAGAGCTAATGTTGAGAAAAAGGCTCTTCAAGCTCTTGGAGTTTTGGAGGCAAAACAAGAGCAGTTGGAACCAGAAGATTTCGAGAGGATTATATGGTCACTTATAGCTGGTGGATTTGTACAAGATGCTCAAAAGTTCCAAGGATTGATGGAAGCTCGGGGATTTACAGTGTCTGAGCAACTTCAAGTAACACTCATGGCGTCTCAAACTTTTCTTCGCAGGAGACCTTCTGTAAGATAATGTTGATCACTTGCGTACAAGGTAAGTTAGTGCTATCTATCTTGGGAGTTGGCTCATGAAAGTGTGTTTTAGTGTTCTGAAGCCTACAAGAATCAATGGCCTCATTGTGATTCAGGAATCACCATGAATTGTCTCCATTAATTTAAAGCAGCAAGATGATTACTGTTCCTGTCTTCCTGAGCATTTTACGACCTTGCAGCCCATTCCTTCTGACTTGTAGTTGTTCTTCGACACAGAATAACTAATAAGTTTTGACTTATAAATGTCTTCTCCATTGTTAGATGCATCAATTGTGGTTATTATGATGTTTGCAGATCTTTCATTTTTTGAACCCTTTTTTGCATATCCTTGTTACTACTGGGAGTTGAATTGCCACATGATTTGGATTTACTTTGAAATGAACATTAAAAGGACTGATAAACTGATTTGCTTGTCCACTAAAACTGCTTTTGGTTTTAGTAGAAATATATTTCTCTTAAGCTACAATACTAAGTGGTGCTTTAGCTTTTCATGGTGTGATCTAACCACTTGCTCAGGAACTTGCATCTTGTTGCTGTAGATCTTTTTGCGGGGTGAGATGTGGTGATTAGGGGGCAGGTGAATTGCTATCATTGATTCCTAGATTATTGTAAGGCACATTATATATTAATGTAATGCTGTAAATAATAAATCATTGAGTATAGCTGATACGATGATCCAGATGATTAGCTGCTTTACTGGTAGTAATGGATGTTTTATTGTCGTGTCTGTAAGAAATGGTTTAGGTATTTTCACATGGTATAGTAAAATAAAAATTTCTTTGGTGCTTAGTACTATTTGTGCTGCAGAGAATGTTTATAAATCGCATATGTGTGAAAGTAGTTTCAACTGTGAAGTGCAAAAGCACTGGTTGTTTCTGGTCTCTGCTGATGAAACATTATGGACTGATTGGCCATGAGAATTTTTCAGTTTTTTCTAGAAAAGTTTTACTTTATTTGAATATCTGCATTTGACCTACATGTAACACAAACTTAGTCTCTGGTATGTAACCGTCCTTCTCCGTTAGCTGCTTTTAACCCCTTAGAAATGCATATATCTTCTCATGATCGGGATGTGACCTATCTCCCGCACTATATTCATGAACTTTGCTTCGAGGCTCAAGAAGACTTTGAGAAGATTTCATTCTCTTTCTCCTTGGCTATTCTGATGCTTTTACAGCCAAAAAACCTGCCTTTGACTGTTCATCCAAACGAGATGGGTC